AATAATTACCATTAATATTAAAAATTAATTATATATTAATGTAAGTATAATTTATTTTATGCCAATAATATTATACATTAAGTATATATATATAATTATTGAAAAGAGGATATAATTTTAAAAAGTAAATTATTAATTAGATTACATAATATAACTGTCCTACTAATTGATTTCATACTACTATGTATAATTAATATATTTGAATTTTTTTAAATCTAAATACCTATTAATTACCTTAATAATTAAGATAATTTTTAGTCAACCAATATTCAATAGTACTAAATGTATTACTTCAAATTTTTATAAATAAGATATAATATTATTAAATCGAAATAATTAAAAATAATGTGTCCATATTACAAAAGATTTTATAATAGTAATTTTTATTGCCTAATAGAATTTGTCAATTGTTAAACATTGTTTATGGTAATTATTGCATGACATTTAATACTAAGATTATCAGGTATAATTTTTATAATTAAGGTATAATATTATTAAACCAAAATTATTAAAAATAATGTGTCCACAATATAAAATAAATTATACTTGTCTTAAATAATTATTTATTAATATAAATTTATAATTATAAATTTGTATCCGAAAAAACATAGCAACTGAAATTTCTAGTTAAAAAAAAATCTCTCCATTTTTTTGTCACCAATTTATAGGTAGAGAATGTGAGAATTATAAATTAATAATATAAGTTTCATTTTCCATTTCCTTTTCTATTCAGTCAATTAGGATTTTTATAATTTTCAGTCCATTAATAATATACGTTTCCTTTTTCAATTTGCATAATTTCACTTTCGTTTTCCAAATCCGTGTTTCATCTGTTATTCCCATACATAATATTCACGTTACTATAAATTGATTAGCAATTAATACATTTACAATACCATAATTATGCAATATTACCAATTAATACATTTTAATTAATTTACATTAAACATATGCTTACCAAATAAGATTTATTAATTATTTGACTAAAAATATAAAATATTTAATTAATTTAGTACACGAGTTTGGACGTGAAAATGATGTAAGATGATTTTACTTTATATATATATATATATATATATATATATATATATATATATATATATATATATACACGTTCATATGAAATAATATTACCATACATACTTGTTAATATTTTGATTTATTAAATTGGTTACAATTCATATTATGGTATGAATAATTCTTATGCAATATACAATTTGGCAACTCAATTAATATTAAGATTTAGCGCAATGAACATATTTCGTCTTGTGTACTCATTTGACTGGAAATATGAAGGTTGGTTCAATAAATCGTAAATATTACCAATTGTTTGGTTAGAAAATAATCTTTATCAAATAAAAAGTAATTAAATTGATAAATTATACTTAAAAGGTAAATATTATGGGTAATTTTCTTATATATAAACCTTTATTGAATTATTTTATTATAAGGAGCGAAAAATTTTATACATAAATTGTTTAATAATTTATTTTGATCTTGAGGTCACACACACACACATATATATACACACTGTAAATATTACAAAATACTTGGTTATAGAATAAGCTTTATTAAGTTATATATAAATTAAAAATGATTAAATTGTTAAATTATACAAATTGGAAAACTCTTAACAAAAAAATTAGCAAAAATGTAACCACATCCGTAAATTTGATTCTATTTCGTAAATGATTTATAAAAATCTGTGTGATTTTATTTCGAAAATTTCAAAGAATAGTGCAGAGTAGTAGTAAATTAAGGTAAATATTACCCAAAATTCTCAAAACCAAAAACATATTTGATCTTATTGAGAAGTGAGAAATGCCTATTACACAACAATAACAAAATATAAAATTATAAGTGAAGTTGAATGTTGGAATAACTATACAATCTTTAGAGCTATTAACATATCCATCATTATTTGAATCACATTCTTTCAAAGAATATGCATATGTAGAAAAGTACCATGAATTTGTAGTGTAAAAAAAATGTTTTAAAACAACCATATGCATAAACTAAAAGTTTTGAAATACAAACTATTAAAATTACGATCATAGTACCACAAAAAAAAAAAAAAAAAAAAAAAAAAAAAAAAAAAAAAAAAACACCTCTTTATCATGGACTACACACTCTATAGAGTTTATTGTTTCAAAACCTCTTGCCTCTGGAAGATGAACAACACGGAGCACTCCAACATTGATTCTATTCCAAATGAGTGTAGGATGAAGTTGACTACCAACAATTTCGTTGTGACTTCCTGCTACAACAATTAGACAATTATATTATTTTTAAAATAAATATATAAAAAAATAAAAGAGAAATAATTTTAAAAAATAAATGTAGTGTCAACTATTATATAATAATAATATATTACATGTAAATTTATAAATTCGTTGTAATTGCCAATGCTTAACATCATTGTAGTTTATCCAGTTATTGTGCGTACCTTCTACAACGTGGGCACACGTGGTGTTGGAAGTCATCAACTCTCCTTAATGCATGTAAATAGTTGTTCAGAACCATTTCAATTGTCTCTATATTTATATCCTGCAATATTTGCAAAAGATGCAGAAAAGAAATAAGAACATAAATTAAGAATTATGCCATTGGAAAATGAAAGACGCAATACATAACTCACCCCAGTACAAAAAGGAAGAGTTATAATTTTTCTAGTCACTAATCCATTGTATTTATAGGTAGAGATAGAGAATGTGAGAATTAATTTCTTTTTATATTTTCAATCAATTTGCCTAATTTCTGTTTCCTTTTTTCATTAGAATCCTTTTATATTTTCAATCAATTAATAATATCAGTTTCCACCAGGACTATGTGGTCTAATGGTATCCGGGTTGGACTTCCATTTGGAAGATTATGAGTTCGAGCCTCAGTGGAGGCGTTATTGGTTCTTTGTGTTTCAGTAGGTTGAGAAAGTATATGAACAAATACTACAATGTAATAGAACCAGTAGCTTTCAAAAAAAAAAAATAATAATATCAGTTTCCTTTTTTCAGTTTATATTGACTGGATTTCACAATGGTATATTGGTATTGCATAATATTACCAATTAATAGCTTTTATAACATTTCCATTTTACATTTGCTTACCAAATAAGTTTTATTAATTTGACCAATAAAATATTTCATTAATTTGACTATAAAAGTTTGAGCGGGAAAATTACATAGGAGGATTTTACTTTTATATATATATATATATATATATATATATATATATATATATAGATATATAGATATATAGATATAGATATATAGATTTCACCTATTGCAGGATTTACAAAATTCGTAAGTCTTACCAATTAGAAGATGGCATTTTTTTTTTTTTACCATTGTCGACTTTTTTTAATAAAGTTAAATGTTGTTATTACATTATTATTATATTTTTAAAGTGTTTTTTTTTTAGAATTATTTTTGAAGTGTGTTAAAAGTTAAAACAGTAAAATGCAAAAAGCAAAACATATTTTATTTTTATTATATTAGTAATATATTTATCATTATCGTATTATGGATTCAGCCTTGTTTTATTTTTTCCCTACTGAAACACAAGGAATCAATGTCGTCTCATATGGGAGTGCAATCTTGGTGTCATTAGACCACAAGGTATTATGAATTCGACCTTGTTTGGTAACATAGTTAGCTTATAAGCCAATTTTAATTTATTTGACAACTATTAGTTGTTTGATTTGATAAAACAATCAATATGAGTGTTTGATTAATTAATTTGTTATTGTTCCACAATGCTAAAATTAAAAAACGTAGCTTTTTTAAGATAAACTTTTTGAGAAATGAATTTTATATGTAATCAGAGAAAATTTTAATTTTGGTCATATGACTATAAGGGCTTTGTTAATTTCAATACCTGACTTTCAAAAGTGTCAATTTAGTACCTTGACTATGCAATTTTTATCAATTTTGGTCACTCCGGTCAAATTGCCGGCCAAATTTTGCCAGAAAATTTTAAGAATTAAAATAATGAGGGTATTTTAGTCATTTCACATCTCTTCCTTCTTCTCCGGCGAATCCGTTGCAGCAGCACACCTTCCGGTTTGACTCATGCATCTTTTTTATTGGCAATCTGTGTCATCTTCGGCCCCTTCCTTTTTATTATCATGATAATGATGGCGAAAATGAACACTGTTGGACTTTTGACCAGGGAAAAAGAGTTATGGTAAAGCTCGATAAAGGAGGAAAATATGTCCCCTTGACGTCGAATCTTGATTGTGGTACTAGCATTTGTCAATGGGCGAGAAAGCGAAACAATGAACGAAAGAGGGTGTAAGCTCTCTTCATTATCCACACGCTTCGTGTATACTGTGTTTTGAGCAAGATTGATTTTTTTTTTTTCTGTATTTAAGGTTGTTGGGGGCTGAGTTTTGGGCAGAAAATTCGTATGAATCAGGCGCAGGTTTTGGATCTGGAAACTGTGCTCAAAGATGGGATTTTGGGCGGCGGCGGTGGAGTACGTGGTTGTCGCTGGGAAGAAACTTAGTCGGGGAAACTGATTGAAGAGATGTGAAATTACTAAAATACCCTCATTATTTTAACTGTTAAAATTTTTCGGCGAAATTTGACCGATAATTTGACCGGAGTTACCCCAAAATTGATAAAAATTAGATAGTCAAGGTACTAAATTTTAACACTTTTGAAAGTCATGTGCTAAAATTAACAAAGCCCCTATAGTCATATGACCAAAATTGAAATTTTCTCTATGTAATCAGTTATGCGCTGACAACTAATTTACCAAACAATTTTCTACAATTAGCTAATGCTATCAATTAGTCAAACTCACTAACCAATCAGCTAACAGCTATCAACTAACAATTATTTATCAAATACCCGAAGTATCAAAAGTGAAAAAAATATTTCAAGATAGTTTAATAAAAGGAAATTATTATTATTATTTTTTTTTTTAAAAAGTAAAATTTTATCTTTTTAATATTTTTTTGTCCGGTTTTATTCTCTTAAACTACTTTTCGATCACCGTTCGCAAAGAATCGTAAAATGACCCCAGTGCCCCTTCTCATCCGTCTTCCATCTTTCCCATTCCGCCCTTCTCCTTTCGGACGCTGGGTCTGGAAACCCAATTCCCATCGCCATTTTCGCTACACCTCAATGGCAACCCAAACTCACTTTCAACCTCAACCTACCAACGACCTTAACAGTCTCGATAACTACCCAGTGCCGCTGTCTCCGCCGCTTCCGTTAGTGTCCAAGGACATAGAGCTGAACAGGGCCTTGACGGCGTCGTCGAGATCGGCGTTGTTTTCTCTCTCTCAGAGCGATGTCATCTTCCAAGATGACTGGCTCATCGCCGTCAACAAGCCTCAAGGAGTCTATTGCGAGAGTGTATTGTCTGCTGTCCCTAATCTTCTCGCCGACTCGAATAGCGACGAGCACGGTGAGTTGCTCAGTTATTCTCGTCATTTTTCTTTTATATTTATGTTAAGGTTTATTGAATCTTTACTGGGTAATATGGAAAACCAGTTGATTGTACAAGAATGCGACTTTTTTCCCCATTTCATTTTCGGATGGAATTATTCCATTCTTTGGAAATCAAGGGAATGAGAGGTTAGTAATGGGTGATATTAGAGTTGTTTAGTTTTAGTTGCTATAACTCCAATTGTTATTCCATGGACCAGGGTTCATCTTGCCATGCTCCAAAAATTGTGTCTTGTGCTTGTAATTACATTGAAGGCACATAATAGGCTAATTACAGTCACATAATATAATCTGAATGTTATTTTGGACCGTGGTCCACAATGCAAGGTGGATCCTGGTCTATGGTGTAATTTGCCCTATAACTCTTGTTTGGCTTAAATTCTTGTGGAGTTCCAATTCATTGAAATGTGACCCAATTTTTTGGAGGAAGGAGTTCAAAATTGTTATTTAGAAAACATGATTTAGTGCTAGGAGGAATCTTTCTCATATATTGTGGACTTGCCTTCTAGTCTTGTTTTATTACACTTTGGGATATTCATGCTTTCATGATACAGCCTGTTATCTTATTATTTGTGAATTAATGGTATAGGTCTTGTTAGATTGGATTTCTTTTCATTATTTGTGGTATAGTTCTTGTTAGATTGAATTCATTTGTGAATGAGAGGAAAGAAGAACCATAATGCATCAATAGCTTATTGTTATGCTATCAGAATCGGTAGGAAGGTCATTCATTCTTTGTGTAGGTGCTGAAAATAGGTAGCACCTGATATATGAGTGCTTGAATCTGAGATCCTCCTATTTGTCCTATGGTGAAAAGACCCAGCACTTTTTCTTTTGTGTGGTAAGGACCTTAGACCAAGGTTTGTGTGTAGCTGGCAAGAAGTACTTGCTTGTATCAAATGCGTCAAGGTGTAATGGATAGCTTAATTCTTTTCATATAATGGGCAGTGATGTGTCACTATTGCTGGTATTGAGTAGCTATGTGGTGATTGGTGGTGAGCTTTTTATCTAAGAGGACATGTAAATTGATGATTTGAACTTTTTTTTTTTTTTTTTGAGTACTACTGATTTTGTTACAATGCAGTATCTGTTCATAACTACTTTCTCTACCTACTAAAGCACAAAGAGTCAATACCGCCTCTACTGAGGCTCGACCCGACAACCTCCCATATGGGAGAGCAACTTGGTGCCACTAGACCACAAGGTCCTTGGCTGATGATTTGAACCTTTAGATGCTTCTCATACAGAATCCTGTAAGATTTCCCTGATGTACTCACTCTTCTGCTTTTATTTTTAGGGACCAAAGTTCCAGAACTGCATCTAGCTAATAGACTTGATCGCGACACAAGTGGTGTAATGGTAATCACCAAATCACACAAAGTAGCTGCTAAGCTCGTTAAAGCTTTTACCGAGCATAAGGTTAGGAAAACATATCTTGCTTTGTGTGTTGGACCGGCACCAAAATGGGGACAAATCATTGTGAGATCAGGACATGGCCGGTCAAAACATGGAGCCTGGCGTGTTTATGCTACATCAGATGTGGGTCGGACACTGCCAGGTGGATCAGTTGTTAAAGACATGAAGACTTCTTTCCAAGCGCTATCTATTAACGGATTTGGATGCTTGGAGGCAATATCTGAATCTGGGAAAGAGGGGGGAGATTTACTAATCGTTGAAGAGAAATCTCTGGTTGACTTTGATATGAAGAAAGACGAGATTTTGATTAGGGCATGCCCTCAGAGTGGAAGAACCCATCAAATTCGCCTGCACTGCCAGTACCTTGGAATTCCTATTAGAGGAGACGTAAAATATGAGGGGGTGTATGAGTGGGAGGGTAAAACATATGATGGCCATGAACTCCATGCGGAAACATTATCGTTCACACATCCTGTTTCTGGCCAATCTATTTCGCTTCAGGCACCTCTGCCATTATGGGCAAACCAAGCATTGGTACTACAACGATAGTTACTGGTTTTTGCTGTCAATCAGAAAGCAGTGCATCATCGGAAGGTCCATCTACAGAATGGTAAGACATGATCTTTAAAATTCTATTAACTTCTGTATGTTGGTAATCCTTGTGCTAGTTCCATTTAGGTCCGTTTAGAATCCTGAAAAATGTTTTTCGAAAAATAATTTTTAGAAAATGACTCATTTTTTCGGAAAATATTGTAATTTTCTAGTGTTTGGCTAAAGGTTAGAAAACTATCTATTTTTGTTTGGCTGAAAGTTAAAAAATTGCATTTTCCTGTTTGGTAATGAACATAGTACTTATTTTTTATAAATAATACTACATACTACATAATAATAATACGGAGTAATAAGTGGTGATGGTGTGGTGGTAATAATAATTCAAAAACTCTCTTGAAGAGAGATGAGAAAGAAGAGAGAGAAAGGAAAATAAAAAATTTGAAAAAATGTCTTACCGATTTAAAATTTAGCAAGACATTCTCTGTCAAAGTAGACATTTTTTTCTGTTGATCAGAATAAATATTTTCCAGTTTATAATTCGGAAAATGACTTTCAAGTTTTCGAATGGAGTTTATTGTTTTGAATTGCTCCCCAAAAGTTATGGGAGTCTTTGGTAGGCCCTTGGCAATCAAGGTTGCCACTAACATTTGTATTGTTTTTAAATGAAGCAGGTAAGTTGCAATGAAACGCGGTGGACCATGAAAAGATTGTTTATCATTCATAGCCCATATATTTATCTGGTATCTTGTGATGAAAGCGTACATGGGTGCACCAAGAGGTCTGATTACGAGAGTGTTTGGTAAATAGCTGTTAGTTGGTTTGACTAGTTGATAGCATTAGTTGATTGTAGAAAGTTGTTTGGTAAATTAAGTGTTACTTGATAGCTGATTACATACAATGATACAAAATGACTTTCTTAAAAAGCTAATTGAAAAAGTTGTTTTGAGTAGTTTTTTTTAATTTTAGTGTTTTCGAACAATAAGCTGTTATAAAAAGCTAATGTTCATGTTGGTTGTTTAACCAAGTTAAACAGCTAATAGTGATTAAACAAGTTAAAATGGGACACCATTCATTGTATTTTGTTTCTCAAAAAGAAGAGGACACCAAAATGGGAAACAAATCTGCTTCTCAAACCTGAAAACTAACAACCTCTTATCTTATAGAGATAAAAGTTCTGTCAATAACTCCACACCCCTAACATACAAGAATGATGATCTTGAAAGAACATTAGCGTTCCAATATAATTTTGAGACGTAGTAAATTAGTATACAACACGACTTTTGGTTTGGGTGTTTGATTTGTAGGAAAATGAATTCCTTGAAATTGGAATTCTTTTGGGTGTTCAGTTTTAAGATGTGAGGAAATTTTTTCTTTTCTTTAATGTTGTTTGGTTCATGAAAAAATGTATTCATGGAGTTTTTTTTTTTTTGAGTGCATATTTCAGATGAGTTTGAATTTTCTAAATTTAAGGAAAATGAATTCCTCACCCCTTACTCCTTTGGCATTTTGAGTCCCGTAGCAATTAGAAACAAAAATGCCATCATACATCCGTGTTAATTACTTAGCTCTCATTTTATTGTATTGTTGTTGTGTAGAGATATGTAAGTTTTTATACTCATGGCCCTCATTGGTAATTCCAAATCAAACAATAAAACTATATTTCTTGTCATTTTTATTCTATTGAATGAATTAAAATTTCATTCCTCAAAAATTGTTTCGTGGTCCAAACACATTGATAGGGTCAATGCCGCAAAATAGGAAAGAGTAAAATTGGGAGAAGGAAGTTATTAAAAAGAAAGGCGGAGGGAGGAGATAATGATAACATTCACCATCTGAAAGCCTTTATCAAGCATCTAAAATTTATAATTAATCCATAAACCGGATAATGCCCACCCACTTGGGTTTCATCGACAAGTAATCGAGTGTTATACCATCGACCAAATTTACCTTATGTTTTATATTTTAATTTAAGACATTCAAATTATCTATATTTAATTAGCATATTATATATTTGTAAATAATAATTTTTTTTTTTAAGGGAAGGCGATATCCCAGTATATAAAGATTAGCTAACCATCTGACTCCAAGTCTGGATGCCAATTACATTATTTCTAAGCATTTCGATTATTTCCTCGGGCAGACGACTATGGGTTTGAGTACCTCTTGGCTCTCTTGTTGCCATAGCTGGTAGCATATCAGCACAGTCGCATTCTGCTCACGGGCAATGTGCACCACTTTCCATTCGACAAGGTGATTGAGCTCTTTTTTTGCATGCTGAAATGAGGTTGTCAATTAAGTTTTCAACCTTTTTGCCTTCAACTATCCCTTCCATTATAGTTTTGGACTCGCTCTCGAACGCTACACGTTCAAAATGGAGAGAATGAGCCAGTTGGATACCTCTTAATAACGCCCAAGCTTCGGTTCTCGCTGCTGAACATGAGCCAATGTTGCAGGTGAAACCATGCAACCAATATATACCTCTTAATAAGGTGTTTTGTTGTATGTTTAAAGTACGTGGTTTGTATTCTTAAAGTGCGTGGTTTGTGTATTTAATGTGCACCATTTTAATGCCACGTCAACCGCCCCTATATATATATAACCCAGGGTGGTAGCTCAGATGATAAATGAGCTCTCGATTCCCACAATCAACGTTTCTTCTCGGGCCTACAGCATCTCGGAGCGCACGGACGGAGAATAACCCAGAACACCTAAAAAAAATTAATTACTATATGTTTATTAAATTCTTTTCCTTTTTAATCTATTAAATTTGACTTAAAATATTAAAATACCCTCACTTTTTGAAGTGATGACATTTTTTGTTTATTTTGATCAATTTAAAAATTTTTAAAATTAAATTGATTGAATTAATAATCGCATGGATAACCTTTCAAAAAAAAATTAATCGCATGGATAATAAATGTGCTAAGTCTTTTTTGGAGTACAATAAATGTATTATTATGTTATTGCTTTCAAAAAAAAAAAAAAAGAACTCCAATTATTATATATATCCAGCTTTAATTTTCAACCAAGCGTCTTTCCAAAAAAAAAAAAAAAAAAGAAAAAGAAAATTTCAACCAAGCGTACCGTACGGTGGTAACTGATTCCAGTCTGCTGACTCCGTGTTAAATCCAATGGAAATCCGCCACGTGAATGCATTGACCCTTAAATCATACGTGTCAGATCTCTATTTGTACACATCATTGTTGCAGTACACATCAGATTTCATCATCACTGAACGTAACGAACTAGCCGAAGAAACATTTCGGCATTTTGCGTGTATAAATACGGAGTAGGCTTTTTCAATCAGTCATCGGTTTCAGTGTGTCTCTATCAGAGTAACGCTACAACAATGGCTGCGCTGAGAATGTTAAACCCTAGATTTATCGCTCTAGCCATTCAGCTATGTCTCCTCGTTGCTCTCGTCTCTGCCAAAGTTATCTTCGAAGAGCGTTTTGGTGGTAATGTGTTTATAGTCTTCTATACATTAATGTGTATGATCGTTTTCAAATGTGATTTGTGTCAATGCCGATACTGTTATGAATTTGTTTTCTCGAAGCTTGCGGACGATCATGATTGATGTTTGAATTCCTATTATCTGTGTCGATTCCATTGTGATTTCGAGTTTTGGTGTAGATCTGTAATGTATAGAATTATAGATCATAGATCGCAATGTGCTGCATGTTAACGAGATTTTATGGTAGTTATTAATGTAATTATTAATGTCTTTGCTTAATGGAAATGTTTGATGCATTTGAAGTAATCACTATCTTAAAAGGTAATTGAATCATATTTTTGTTTGATTTGAGAACACATCTAAATGATGATTATTCATCTTAACGTGTCAAACTGTATAAATGAATTTTAGTTTTGTTACTCTTTTCGCATGTCATTGACTATAGGATATCTCCTTGAATTCTGCTGCTGTGATTTTCCAATAGTGAAATGCATGGGGTGTTGTCTTGATATTCTATGTATAAAGGTTTTAACTGTGTTGATGTGGCTTGTGTTTTATGCTGATGCATATTTCTTGTTGAGTTCTTTAGATGGGTGGGAAAATCGGTGGGTCAAGTCTGACTGGAAGAAAGATGAGAATTTGGCTGGAGAGTGGAATTATACCTCTGGTAAATGGAATGGAGATCCAAATGACAAAGGTGCAAATTCCTCATTTAGTCTAGCCAGATTAATTTTAAGATTTTGAGTAATTAAATGATTACTATATTGACCAAGCATGTGCTATGCTTATTTATTATGCAGGTATTCAGACAAGTGAAGACGCCAGGTTTTATGCCATTTCAGCTCAGTTTCCTGAGTTCAACAACAAGGGCAAAACCCTAGTTTTCCAATTTTCAGTTAAGCATGAGCAAAAGATTGACTGTGGTGGTGGATACATGAAATTGCTCAGTGGTGATATAGATCAAAAGAAATTTGGGGGTGAAACCCCATACAGGTTAACCATAGTACATTGTGGTTAAATAATTTTTTATTTTTATTATTATTATTTTTTTTCAGTTTCCTTGTTTTGTTACTGATTTGCAATAAAATTTTGTTTGAATACAGTATTATGTTTGGACCAGACATCTGTGGCAACAGAGTAAAAAAGGTCCATGCCATTATTACTTATAATGAGACAAACCACTTGATTAAGAAGGATGTCCCATGTGAGACTGACCAACTGACTCATGTCTATACCTTCATCCTCCGCCCCGATGCTACATATAGTATTCTCATTGACAATGTGGAGAAGCAGACAGGTAGCTTGTACAAGGATTGGAGTCTGCTCCCACCAAAGAAAATTAAGGATCCAGAAGCCAAGAAAGTAAATTGCTTCTGTATTAGCTACTTTTGACTAATCAGTCTGTTGTCTTCCAATTATGTTACTTATTTACTTAACAAGCTACATGCCTTTGACAGCCTGCAGATTGGGATGAGAATGAATATTTAGATGACCCTGAAGATAAGAAGCCAGAGGTATGCCTTCCTAACTTCCGTTCTTCTTTGTCTTTACTTGTATTTTAGACAATTGGTAATGAGTCTGATTACATAATTGTGAATATCTGCAGGGGTATGATGACATCCCCAAGGAAATTCCAGATTCTGATGCTAAGAAGGTGATAATTTGATTAAAATGTTTAGTTTCATCCTTGGTAATTAATGCTAAAATAATACTATGTACTTACTGAATTCAGTCTCTGTTTGCAGCCTGAGGACTGGGATGATGAGGAGGATGGTGAGTGGACTGCCCCAACCATTGCTAACCCTGAGTACAAGGGCCCGTGGACGCCAAAGGTCTGTATGGTTTCTAAGTAATATGTAAGTGTAACTTACTGTATCTTGATTATACTCTTTATAACTAGTTTTTCCTTTTATCAGCAAATTAAGAACCCCAACTACAAGGGAAAGTGGAAGGCACCTATGATTAATAACCCAGGTATATATGCTTCTCTCTAATATTTTGTGTGGATTTTTACCTCAATTCTGTTATAGTCATCCATTTTAATATTTCTCCTCATAACAACAGACTTCAAAGATGACCCAGATCTCTATGTTTTCCCAAATTTGAAGTATGTGGGCATTGAATTGTGGCAGGTTTGTTTTTTTTTTTTTTTTCTTTTTACTTATTCCTTGTTTTGATTCACACTCTGTTGTGTTATCTTCTGAATATTATAGCGTACCAGAAATTGTATTTTAACTGAGATTCTGCTTTCTGCAGGTGAAATCTGGAACTTTGTTTGACAATGTTTTGGTATGTGATGATCCTGAGTATGCAAAGAAGCTGGTTGAAGAGACATGGAGCAAGAATAAGGATGTATGAATTCTCATCCCAAGTTACATTTACAAAGGAAAATAAAACAAAAATGAAAAATCTGTTTCTCAATGTTTGGTATTATGCCTGATTTTGCAGGCTGAGAAGGCTGCATTTGATGAGGCAGAAAAGAAGAGTATCAATGAGGTAAACCATATATCATGCTTGTTTGTTCTGATATCATGTTATGAGCTTCATTTGGTTGTCTGACATTCATTATCTAAATTGTATGACTAGTGGTTTGCTGACCATTCTGAAATTGCTGAAAAGACATGTTATATATAAATAAGAATTTCTCTCTTAACATCTCTGTGACATAATTTTGTTCTCTTTTCAGGAATCCAAGGATGATCAAGTTGATTCTGATGTAAGTCATAGCTGCAGAATTATTTTCCTTTTTTTTTTTTCTTCCTCCATTTGTGTCTTTGTTGAAGAAGCATGTATTTTCAGGCTGAGGATGAAGATGATGATGAAGATGATGATGCCGATGCAAAATCAGATTCCAAAGATGTACATGTAAGAACTCTGGCTAAGACATCATTGTCAGAGTATTCTTAAGCCTCACAACTTTCTGTCATTCTGACCCCCTTCCCATTTTGCAGGATGAGCTCTGATCGCCAAGGTTGATGTAATCACAAAACAATGAGCTTCCTTCACACTCTTCGGCAGTTGCACTTATAAATTTCTACTTTAGATTTTTTTACGGTAGCTTCAGTTTTAGACATTTTGAGGCTGCATGAAGGCTGTGGTTTATAATGTGGGCTAGAGTTACAGAATTCTCTGTTAAATATTTCGTGAAGCTGCCTGGGAATTTTTTTTTATGCTCATGGTTTATGAATGAAACGTAGTCTTTATGCTCTAAAAAAATTTAGATTCCAGTTTATGAGGCCATGGCGGTTCATTTCTCGTAACTAGTGCTTGTTTGACACTTAAGCTATATTTATCCATACAATACTTACATTTAAAATTGAATCTTACCATCTTATCATTACATTTATATTAATAAATAAATTGTAATAATAATAATAACTATAATAATAATAATAATAAATGTATCATTACATTTATATTAATAAGTAATAATAATAATAATAATAACTATAATAATAATAATAATTTTTAACGATGAACTTTGAATTATGCAATGTTGAACAAATTGTTAGATGCCCGATTTATTTTTTTAATATATATATATATATATATATATATATATATATATATATATATATATATATATATTTTGGAGTTATACAACATGGAAACTACCATCCTCTATAAATAGTAGGGTGTTCGATTAACTGAATTGTTTTAATCAAAGTTTTTAAAACTTTAATCGTTAACTGAACTGAATCGTTTTAAAAGCTTTTAAAATTTTAAGCGTTAACCGAACCAAACTTTGTGTTATTGAAGTAACTGAATTGAAGTTTTTTTCGGTTAATTGGTCGATTAATTGATTAATTGAACTTTTAAAAACTAAAATCATAAAATAATACCTATATAATAAATATAATCAAAATAATACATATAATAATAAATTCATAATATATATATATAGAAATTTTGAAAAATCTTTAACCAAATTGAACTGACGTTCGGTCGGTTAATCGAAAATTTACGGATATTGATGATCAAATTGAACTGACGGAGGGGGAATATTTTCAATGGAGTTCCCGGAGAATGAACTCCGGGAAGGTAGAGTAGAAATTACGATGATCAAATATGATAAAATAGTAAAACACGTTCAATCCAAAAAGATTTATGATTCACTTTTTTTCTTATGACACGATAATCAAATATAGATTCACGGATTTTTCGAGCAAAACACCAATCCGCATTTGAGTTCGGATTGGAATTATGATTCAAGTGAAGTAAGCCTATTTCTTTTTTTCTTTTTTTTTTTTTTTTTTTATTTGGAATTTTTCTTTCTTTTGATCTTTATTTTGAGTTCTAGCTTTCAAAGCATTAGTTCTAGCGGTCGACTCGCTTATTTGAAATCCTTTCCTTTTAAAGGGTAACAAAGATAAAATACGAGCTTGTTTTATCGGTAATTAATCGTTGTTGTTTCAAGGTCAATCTATTCACTCGTCTAGATAATATTTTTCCTTGTTCACTAATAAATCGGCTAATTAAGCTCATGTTTCTATAATCAATTCGATCCCCCGATTGAATCGGGGGCAAACGCCTACGAAAAGATCGCTTGGATTTAAGAAAAGGTCGCTTGGATTTATCCATAGTTTGTTTAGTTTATTCTCTATCCCGAATATCTTATTTTCGTATTTTATATCTTATTTTCTTATTTTTTCATTAGAATTCAATTTCATTATCAATTTGCCCCAAATGGAGATTCCCGGAGTTCATCGCAATTTTCGGTAAGCCATTATTTAATTCGCCTTTTGATAGAATAATACGCGGTTTTAACCCGGGTTCCCCCTCGTCCGATAGCCAGAACGTGTCGCCTCAAGACTATGACAACACGGTCAAAGTCCTTCACGGTCTCCTCCGACCATTTGGGAGATCGAGGGCTATATTGGCGAACAGGAAGATTAAGCTCGAGTAGCTGAAAACCAGGTCCGACGTCTTACATTGTCATCTCCTGACCCAAAAGTCGGGCCCTCTGGTCGAGGGAAGTCCCCCTAGGTTGTCCTTGCCTCTCTATTTCCTTCTTCTTCTTCTTCTTCTTCTTCCCGTTCTCGTGTCGCCGACCCTTTTGGGTCGTTCCTTCTAGTGGCAAACACTCTCCTTCAACCTGCTCCCACCACCTCAGGTGGGAAGCAAGTATATCTTCGTTGTCGAAGAGGTCTCTTCCCTCTTCTTACCCGAGCCGAAGTCGAAGAGGTCTCTTCCCTCTTGACCGGCCTGGTCTGCTTTGATACTTGTCGGTTTCTCGGGAACGTTATCGAACATCACAAAGAGGACTGGATAGGGATTCACATTGACTCCCTCAACCGTTCTCCCCTTTCATTTTTTCTTTCATCTCTTACTACAGGGTCTTCTCGGGCAAATTCAGCCCAAATGCGCATCGCATTCTGGCTTCCTTGCTCAATGGATCTTTTCTGCTTCCTCTTTCTAGTCCGGGCACTTTCACCTAAGCTTTAGGTGGGGGGTGGGGGGGGGGGGGGGGGGGGGAAGTTCCTTATCCATTCAGTCTCGCGGGCACCATTGTAGCATAACCCACCTTCCGGACAACAATAAAGGGTGGAAAAATAGGATCGTCTCGATTGAGTACAAGTGGCGCCTACCGATCCCCGTGGTTTGGGCTTCCCACTTCCGTAAGCCTGGACAAAGCCCCGGAGCTAGAGGTTGAGGAGGTGGCTCCACTCAAGAGGCAATGCAACACCGGCTCCTCGGGCGAGACCTCGGTTATCGACGCTCTGTTGAGTGGGGAGGGTTACCTGGACGCCTTGCTGGACAAGATCTGCGGGTCGGTCCTACCTTGTGAAAGTACGCTGGATTGGTTGGCCAACCAGGTCGGCAAGCGAGCGGCCCCGAGACCTTATGCAGGTTAGTATCAGTTTTCTAGTTTTTCCATATAGCCCAATTTGTTGTCTTGCCTAACTCTAATTTTGCAGATGGCTCACTCGGTGGCCGACCTATTATTCCGGGTTAAGGCCTGTGAGAACATCTATTAGAAGAAGTTCGACTCACTCAAGAAGGTCGTAACCCGCCGGGACGCCAAACAACGCGTCGAGGCCGAAATCTCGGAATACCGGGCCTCGCCGTCCTTCCTCTCTGACGCCTCCACTAACTCAAAGTATACGAATGCAAATAGATTGAGAGGGTTGTGTGCACAATCCTTAAACTCACCAATCTCGCTGTCTGCAACTTGGATACCCACCAACACATTCGCACCCCTTCTTCTCCCTATCAAATGGCAATTCAATACAAGTGAAACAAAGATATATTAGTTGCTTGCACATATATGGTCAAATTAAAGATGATCAAGGAAGTCAAGCACCTTGTGCCCAGATGGCATGTAATAATCTCTCTCATGTGGGAAGTCATGAGATCGAGTCTCAGTGGAGGTCATCATACTACAATAATAGAGTCCTCTCTGGAAACACAAATCTTCATACTACAATAATAGAGTCGAGTCCTCTCTGGAAACACAAATCTTCATAAGAGTTCATCGAGTGAAAAGCAGAAGCAGGTCTGTCGCTTGTATATACATATATATGCTCAAAATGCCCTCACGTGTGCAAGCCGATTACTTTTTAGTTTTTACGGGTTTCAAGTAACACGTGACGACTCTGATACCAAATAGGAACATGTCCTCCATCTCAATTAAAAGCTTAATAAACTAATAGCTTGACTACACATTTATGTTTATATGACCTATCTCAACAGGTTTATAGTACAAATGTACAATGGATATTTCTATTACAAAAATGGAGATTATTAAACATAATAGATGGCTGTGGACCATGTGCATAACATTCAAATGCAGATTTCTGGATAGCACGAGGAAGTCATCAATCATAAAAGCAAGTATTCCTCTACCTTTTGAATGTATGTAGTGAAGTATGCAGTTGTTTCAGGTTTAGCAATAATCTCTTATTAATCTCCTTTGCAGCTGCGATATGCATCACCTGCATGTGAATCACATAGAGAATTGAAGCTAGTCATAATTGATGATGATCTTAAAAGAAGATTCCATGTACAACATTCTTCAACCAAACAATTTATGCTGATAATAACATGTAAATGGTAATTAGATCATTATTTTACGTAGTTACAATTAAAATTTATTATTAAAATTGTCAATGTAGGGCAATAGAACATCTGCAATGTTGCAATCAATCTTGCAAGTCTAGAAAAGAAAGAAATTTCAAAAATAGTCACCGTTGCAACATTCAGTGATCTTGTATGTAAAATACTTATTGTGCATTCTTTAAATATTTTTTTTTTTTTTGAAAATTTTCATGATGCTTCATTAAAAATAGGCAGAAATAGTATCCGGTGGGAGCTGATCCCAATACATAGTTGTGGTCTGCTGATAAGCCGAAATAGCTAAAGTATGAGCTAGGTGATTCTCTAATCTAGGAATAAAATGAAACGAACAAGACTGAAACGAAGATGCAATAAGCCTGCAAGTATCAATGGCATAGCCTAGATATGTGCGCATCATAACAGCTGGTGTAGTAAGATAACGGTGTAGTGTCTGACAGTCCGTGTAGATGTCAACATTCTGCTCTCCCCGATCCTTCAACCATGACAATGCTTCTTTACATGCGAGTGCCTCAGCCATAAGTGGCGACGAACACCCATGTAATGGTCCATTGTACGCCGAGACGTACCCTCCATTCGTGTCCAGCAAGATTACGCCCATAGCAGCCTGTCCTGTCTCTTGCATAAACCCCCCGTCCACACGGCATATACGCCTTGGAGGTCCGTCCGGCTCGGCTACAGGCAGGTACGTCGCGTGGTGGCCGGCACTTCCTTGCAGCGCGCTCGGCAAAGGCTGTGTGGTGGCTCGGATTGTGGGCTGCGGGAGCGCCCGTACCCATGCATGCATGGCAGCCGCAGCGGATTTGAGTACTACCTCCGGTCGCGGCAAAGTTGCTTCTCAAACGGCCCTGTTCCTTGCTCTCCAAATATTGTATAATATTGCTACTGCATAGAATATCCCATCAGAGTCTAGAACATTTAGAAGTTCATCAAACCAAATATGAAAAATATTTGTGATTATATTTGGGATTGTAAGGTTAGATTTTTCCCAAACGTTCCGTGCAAAATCACACAACACCAAAGCATGCATTGTGTCATCTTGAGATAATCCACACATGGCACATCTTAAATCCACATCCACCCTCCTTATAAGCAAATTTGTAGTAGTAGGCAATATATCACTAATGGCTCTCCATAGAAATATTCTCCATTTTGGGATTCCTAGCTTCCATAGGGACAACCATTTTGTAAAAGCCCCATTAGTCTGTTGATAATTTCCAATTATTTGCCTATATCCACTCTTAACAGAATACTCCCCTCTTGGGTCCCCATACCAGTACCAGGTATCCTCATATTCCGGATATATGGGTATTTTCATAATTTCTGTCACATCATCAGGTTGAAATAAATCAGTTAAAATCGAGGGATCCCAGGCACCAGTTTGCTGATCTATCAAACCTGCCACCTTGGCATGTTGTAACTGTATAGGCATTTCTGTTTGTATCATTGGGTCATGGTCATTCCGTAGCCATGGGTGGGTCCATATAAATGTAGCCTCCCCATTACCTATTCTGCGCCTGACCCCACCACAAATAATACTCTTTGCTGCCATGATGCTCCGCCAGCAGAAACTGGGATTACTTCCCACCTGTGCATCAAAAAAAGTTCCTTTGGGAAAGTACCTGGCCTTATACACGCGTGTGACCAGAGAGTCAGGCTTAATCAACATTCGTCACGCCTGCTTTCCTAGCATTGCCAGATTAAATGCCCGCAAATCTTTAAACCCCAGTCCACCATATTTCTTTGGGATACATAATTTATCCCACGCCTTCCAGTGTATTCGCCTATCAGTTCCAGAGTCCTACCAATACCGATTCATTGTCCTCTCCACTGCCGTACAAACCGATACAGGTAACAAAAAAACACTCATTGAAAACGTAGGCATAGATTGTGCTACAGTTTTCAAGAGGATTTCTTTCCCCGCCTGTGATAGCAGTTTTTTATTCCATGACCCAATTCTTTGACGAATTTTATCCTCCACATACGCAAAAACTGCTTTCTTGTGTCTTCCAACAAAAGAGGGAAGTCCCAAATACTTTCCAAAATTTGGTGTCTGTGTCACTCCCAGAATCTGAGCCACACTTTGCCTATCCTCGCTACTAGTATTCCTGCTGTAGCATATACTGGACTTATGGTAATTTATTGCCTGGCCAGATAACCCCTCATAATCAGACAGACATTTCTTAACCTCAGTTGCTTCCTCTGCCTTTGCTTTAAAAAACAACAAACTATCATCAGCAAAAAACAAGTGAGAAATCGGTGGGGCTCCTCGTGTTACCCTGCAGCCATGTATTAATCCAACATTATGTGCCCGCTGTAACATCATAGATAGGCCCTCTGCACAGATAATAAATAAATATGGGGACAAAGGATCCCCCTGCCTTATTCCACGAGTGGGTATAATTGGATCACACTTCGTACCATTCACCTGAATATTATATGAGACAGAGGTTACACACTTCATAATCACCTCCACCCAACCAGCATGAAAACCCAGCGCTAACATCATCTTTCGCAAGAAAGACCATTCAACCCGATCATATGCTTTCGCCATATCTAGCTTTAGAGCACTCCATCCCCCCACTCCACATTGCTTCCTATTCAGAAAATGTCCCACTTCTGCAGCTAATAATATATTATCCATTATTAGTCTATCTGGGATAAATGCGCTCTGTGACTCAGATATTACTCCGTCCATTAATGGCTTCATTCTGTTAGCCAACATTTTTGCCATAACTCTATAGACCACATTACTGAGGGCTATAGGCCGTAAGTCAGTGACATATTCCGGGGTTTTCTTTTTCGGGATTAGAACAATATCAGTCTCAGTCAAACCAGGCGGGAAGTCACAGGTTTCAACACAGTTTATTATAAAGGTAGCCACATCACCCCCAACCACATCCCAAAAATGTTGATAAAAGCCCGGATTCATTCCATCCGGGCCCGGTGCCTTGTCCGGGAACATCGCAAATAAAGCACATTTAACCTCATCAAGTTCAAACGGGCGCAATAATGACTCATTCTGTGCCTGCGTAATACGCGGGATAATTCCCTCAAAAAACTCCTCCCCTGTTCCCGGGGTTCCCGCACAAAAGATACCATTATAGTACTGCAGAATAATATTTTTCATAGGATCCCCCTCAACCCAAACCCCATTATCATTCATCAATCTAGAAATAGTATTCTTCTTTTTTCGGTGAGAGGCATACCTGTGAAAAAACTTCGTATTAGCGTCCGCCTCCTTCAGCCAATGTTGTTTGGCTCTCTGCCTCCAGTAGGCATCCTCCTGAGCTTCAGTACAGCTTAACAGCTGCTCTAGACGCCGGAACTCAGCTAGGGAAGCCGGGTCAGTATGCCCCCTCAGTCGGTGCTGCTCTCTTGTGAGTTCCTTAATTCGTTTTCCGTACTTATGATGCCGGTCTCCACCCCATCGTGTTAACCGGGTCCCACAGTACTGAATGCAGTTCTGCAATCCCTGGCCCCTCCCCTCCTGCCAAGACTGCTCTACCACATTCCTACACCCTTCATCGTGCAACCAGGCCATCTCAAACCGAAATCCTCTCCTACGAGGCCCAAGACTAGTATAATCTTGGATCCCCAAAAAGAGAGCCGAATGATCGGACTTCCGGGTTCTCAGATTCATCACCTTTGCCCCCATCACCATACTCCGCCACTCCTCCGTCACTAATACTTTATCAAGCCTCTCCTCCATCCAGTTTACTATCCCCTTCCCCTTCTCCCATGTGTACGGATAGCCAACCATAGGCAACTGAGCAACCCAACAATCCTCAATAGCTTCCCCAAAACCGCGTAGGAGGCTGTTCGGATGCGGATTTCCCCCTCTCTTCTCATTCTGATATAATAGATCATTGAAATCTCCAATAACAACCCACGGGAGATTTGACCTACCCGAAAGCGTTCTCAGAAGATCCCAAGACTCAGTGCGTCTCGTTCGTTCAGAAAACCCATAATATCCCGTCATTCGCCATTCAGGAAAGCCTGCAATAGTTACCCCAACATCAACATAGTTCGTTGAGTAACTGATTAGTCGTGCCGTACAATTCTTCTTCCACAGCAATGCTATACCACCACTTAAACCATCACTGTCAACACAAAACAGTCCTTCATAGCCAATCTTAACACGTAACCGTTCCGCATGATCTCGTGCCACTTTAGTCTCCATAAGAAATACAAAGTCGGGTTGCTTTTTGGACACCATGTCCACAATCTCCCGAACTGTCCGTGGATTACCCAAGCCACGGCAGTTCCAACTTAAAGCACTCATTGATCCGGGCGGGTCTGGGAACCAGTACCCGCCTGCTGCAAGTTTTTTGAGAACTCGGTCCTGACAATATCCTCCCCCTCACCCCTCCGTCCCTCACTACCCATCTCCCCCCGGCGCCGCTTAGCCACCGCCACCACCTCTCCCTCAACCACCCCCTCAGCCCGATATGTGCTCCCCGAAACCCGCCCCTCCTCCGGCCGGACGGCCTGCGGCTTCCGTCCCATGGCCTGGCGACCCGTCGGCAACAACCAACTACCCCCCACCGGCCTAGGGCCACGATTCCCACCCGCCCGTAGCTCCGGGCCATACAAATACTCCTCCACCGGCATCCTCGAGTCCCTTGCCCCACGACAAAACTGGTATGAGTGGCCTAGCATCCCGCAAAAATAACAATACGTATGGAGACGTTCATACTTAAACGTGACCCAACAACTTGTCTTATCACGTTTTATAAAGTTCATCCGTCTTTTCAAGGGCTTGTCCACAGGCAGCGAAACCCTAATACGATGATACATCTTCCATGGGGCATTGTCAAAACGATCATCATACTTCACAAACGTACCCAAGAAATTTCCTATCTGTTCCAGAATCCGGCTAGACGAGTATCCATTCGGCACACCATGCAGCTGTACCCATAAGTCCACCGTATCCAACACTACATCAATCGGCATTACTCCGTTAGGGACCTGCTTACACACCAGCGTAGTATTATCGAAAGACCAGGGACCCTCATTCAGGACGCGTTCCATGTCTGTTATATGATGAAAAACAAACAAAAAACGACCCGGCTCAACCTCCGTTGCCTCAACCCCGCTCACCGGCTGCCATACCGATGCCAGAACCTGACTCATAAATTCCAACCTGACTAGCTTTCGTGTCAAGAATCTTCCCACCACCCCCCAGCTCTCCGCCACCTCGCTGGCCACCCCCTCGGCGTCGTCCCCAACATCCGGCAAGAAAGCCGTGGCTTCCTCCTCAAGAACGATGTCGGCCCACCTGGCCGTTAGGCCCTCCACATCTTGTCCAGTCGTCGACGCCATCTAGAATGCAGCGACGTGCGTCGAAGCTTGCTATCGCGATCGGAAAAATAGTCCGCAAGAAACGTCGAAGAAGCGACCGAAGAACCCTAGAAACCCTAGGTAGGAATACTAGCATATAGTGAATATGATTATGTGCATTCTGCATTCTTTAAATATATTAGAACTAATATAAATTTACAATTCATTTCATTTTCTAAACTCAACCTGTTTAGATTAAAGACAAAATCAGCATCAACCTTAACAACAAAAACACTTAGTATTCGGACTATTTGAAGAATCATTGTTGTTATTATCAAGTCAACAAGTTATGGAACTAGAACAAGAGGTACTACTCATGAACCTTCTACAAATATAATAAATATTAATATTTTGTTCAATACTTCCACATGAGAATCTACGACACACATCTCACAACACATGAAACATGTAGGGAAAAAAACTACAACTGTCAAATATCAATAGACGCTTGCAAGATAAAGAGTTCATAGTACAACTAATTAAGATTTCAGTCATATAAACAACAAGACAAATCTAAAACTTCCTACACTATAATCTCATTGCATGACGTTGTTATCTATGCTACCACCAGTAGCTCAAATGCATATGACAAACTAACTACCAATAAAAAAGAAGAGGACAAGTACTGAAGACAATGACAATGATATCCAAAAGAGAATTAAGAAGACTTAGAGAAATTCAAACAAAAAATAGTATTTATTTAGACTAATGTTATTACAAAGTTGCAAACATTTATTTTAGTGACAATTATTATCAATCTGCTCTCCTATATTATCTTGCATTTATATACTTTGAATTACTGATTTGAATAAACGAATTCAACATTCGCATTCAATTATCTATGCATATACATCTCCTATATAATCTTGCATTGATATACTTTACAGTACTTATTTAAAAATAATCATTGGTCATTATTCCTTTCGCGCAATGCACGTGAAAAACTAGAGAGCTGTAAATAGGGTTTGTGTAGAACATTATTTTGATTCAATGGTAATATAATAAGATGAGGTACTTTATGTGATTTATTACTGAGATATAACACATTAAAGTTGAATCAATCTGCTTGGACATCAAGTTTGTTTTTATAATAAAAAGTCAAACACGGAGTACTTTTTAAGTACGTAACACGAAGATGATGGACCACAACAACATCTATAATGATATTTACATGATGTTTCCTTTCAATTTCTCTTCCTTGATGATTATTTGACTTGGTTAGTGCCTTGAAATTTCTTTACACAGCCATTATATTGTTGCTTTAATTTCACGAAAGTTCTTCGGCTTATATATACACGATCATCAACATGCATAAAAGCATCATCTATTAATCTCAGATTATTGGAATTGAAATAGATATATATAGTAGTGTTTGATTTTGGTGATCAGATCAGATCAGTTTGCGAGCATGGCGGAAATGGTGTTTGGTAATCCTCTGGTTGTGATCAGCCCGGAATACTGTGCCCCTCATCATCTTCAAATCTCAATCAAGAAAAAGCTACACTTTTTGGCTGGCAACGGATATGAAGTTAAAGATGCCGCCAGTAGCAGAATCCTCTTCAAAGTCGAAAACATCCCCACTTTCTTCAACAGCAAGGTCGTCGTCTTTGATCCCGCCGGAAACTCCATCATCACTCTCCGACGAAAGGTATATATATATATGAAATTCAAAATGTTACATTGATTTTTTTGGGTGACTTGGAAAACTTGAGTCTATTATATGAACGTGTACTTAGTAAATATCACCTTATGATTCTAATAGACAATGGATCACGATTTACTTATAAATAATTGCTCTTATTGAAAGTCAAACTTTTAAGTGCATAGTTACAAATCAACTCAAATCAACTTAGTTGATGTTGCCACTTGCAAAGCAATAAATTTTGAGATTAATGAAAAATCAATTTGGTTAGTACTTTGTTCCTTAATTGGACCGACCCGGTGCAAATGACCATTAGTCTGGGTATAAAACGGACTTAAAGGCAATCGTTATATCGTCACTACTGGAAAAATCAAGGAATTTCCGACCACCTAAAAGTGATCGTAAATCAAGTCGAAAGCCCTTGCTCCGACCACTTTTGGTATCCGGAAAAACCTTTTGTCGCTATTTTCAACCACCTTGTTCGGAAATAGCATCTAATTTTGTAAAGTGGTCAAAAAAATTGGCTACTAGAAAGATTGGCGAAAATTCTCAATTGCCGAATTTTATTTTCAACCACCTTTACTTTGTGCTCGGTATTTCCGACCACTAAGTAAAGGTGGTCGGAAATTATGACCTATTTCCCTTCGGCACAAAATTGAAAAAATGTCATCTTTTCGACCATTTTTTTAGGTGATCAGAAAATAAAAGATTTCCAGCGATGCGTGGACCATGGTCCAAAAACGGCATCGTTTCTTTAAGTAAAGAAACAGCTGCCGTTACATCTTAACGGAGCCCGTATTTGTTGTGTGTTAATTACAAAATGAAACTACAGTGTATCTAAAATGAAATTGTCTTACATATTATTTTTATATTATCAAATGAAACTATAATTGAATTGAAATGAAATTGTAGTTGTGTTGAAATGAAACTGCAGTGTATATAAAATGAAACTGAATAATAGTTTCACATATTTGAGTGTATATTGTCCAATGAAACTGTAGTTATATCGAAATGATACTGTAATATGTGTTGCAATGAAACTAGTGTACATAAGATGAACTGAATAACAGTTTCACATATTTGAGTGTATAATGTCGAGTGAAATTGTAGTTATATCAAATTGAAGTTGTAGTTGTGTTGAAATGAAACTGCAGTGTATATAAAATGAAACTGAATATGCTATACAAACAGAGCTACTTTATGCGGAAGGGATGCCGTTTCTTTTCATTAAAAGAAACAGCACCGTTTTGAAGCTTGGACCACAATTCATTGTAGACAGCGGTCCACAATAAAATTTGTCACTTAAATGTGCCTCTTACAGCGGCTCAAAACACCTCGAGTAGTTATGCCATGGACCCGGGTCAAAATACATAATTTCTATACCGAATGAATTGTGAAAATTCAATATGTTAATTGTGAACATTTAGTATATAAAATTATGAACATTCAGTAGATAAATTGTGAATATCTAGTATATAAAAATTGTGAACATTCAATATATAAATTGTGTATTTTTAGACTCGAGTTCACCTTACAAGTTGGACCTAGGGCCACAGAATAATTTGCCGGGCACCTCATGGCCTGACAAAAAATTCTTAGAATAAGGTAGAGAAAAAGAAATTATGAGAATTATTACCAAATCTAATTTATGTATGCAGGCATTTACATGGCGAACCAGATGGAAAGTTTACAGGGGAGAAAGCAAAGAGGAGAAAGACTTCATCTTCAGCGCAAGAACATCCTCAGCGTTCCAGTTCACCACGAACCTAGACGTGTTCTTAGCCGGCAACACTTCGGAACAAGTCTGCGATTATAAGATGAAGACAAGCTTCGCGCAGTCGACGTGCGATATCTACGTTAAACCATCTTCTACCTTAATTGCTCAGATGCAGAAGAAAGTGACGGCAGGGAGTATATTCCTGGGAAAGGATAATTTCATGGTGACGCTGCAGCCAAACGTGGATCAAGCCTTCATCGTTGCTCTTATAGTAATTCTCCAAGAGATCGTCGACTCAAGAAGAAGAAATCAAAGTTCTGGGTGATTTACATCTTCCAAAATGCTTTATGACCCTGGGGTATAGGAGTCTTGAGGTTGAGGATTTAACCTTTTTGGGAGAAGAAATCACAATTCTCATTATTAAGCATTAATATTTGTACACCTATTTATTCTGTTTATTTAATCTGGGTTGTTATATTTTATCTCGTGTAGAATTGGTTTAGAACTGTTGTTAGCATCTCTTCTATTTATACTTTGTATTGTACACTTGTTTAAATATGTAGGAACTTTTTTCTTCTCATTCTTATATGGTATCAAGAGCCTATCTCTCACGAGATCTCTTTTTTTTTTTTTTTTTTTTTTTTTTTTTTTTCTCTCTCCATTCGATCCTATGGCAATTACATTTACAACTACTATCATCCAATTATCTGTCCCGACCAACTTTTTAATCTGTCTCACTGATGCAAATTAGCCAGTTTGGGGACGACAGGTTCATTCGACTCTCATTGGTCTTGGTCTATTAGGATACATTGATGGCACTATTGAGGAGCCAACTAAATTTCTTAATCCTACATCAACAACTATGAACCCAGCTGATACAGAGTGGGTACATCAAGACCATATTATTCTTGGTAGTTGCACAGATACAATACAACCGGTCATATCCTCTGCGACCACGGCTACGGATGCATGGTTTCGCCTTACGTCCAGCTATGCTAGCTCGTCTAAAGCACGAGTAATATCCCTCAAAGCAAAGATGGTCAAAAATCCAAGAGGCTCCTGATCAGTTTCAGAATTTCTTCAAGATATGAAATCCATTGTTGATGACCTCGCATTAGCACAACATCATATCTTCGGTGAGGACTTGGTTGTTCATGCGCTCACCCAATTAGGTGATGAGTTTTATCTGATCATGGCACGATCAGTGTCCGTGAAACTGCGATTACTTATGTTGACATGAAGCAGTCGACATACTTCGTATCTGCCCACGACGAATGTTACCCAACGTCAATCACTTAAAGACTCGGCAACAACTAAATTTAGGCTGGGATCTTCTCGTGATCAGGTTACCACCTCCAGCGCCCGTAGAGGTCGTGGTGGTACATTTCCCGTGGCCACAACTCCGACAATCGTCAAGGTCTATTCTATAACTTTTGTGAATTCCTGACACATATGCACATTGTATTTTGGTCAGATCCGGACCCAATCCTTGAGGGGAGTCCAACCCGACCATCGCTGTCCTAAGGCAAGTATTTTCCTTACCTAATCTCACGCCAAGCTCAGGGTCAATCGATTGGACTTAAGAGCAATAACTGTCATTCCTGCCCCGACCTAGACACTCAGGACCGGCTTACCAGCATGGTTCTCGTGGTTGAGTGCGGGGTAGCGCGCCTAATGGAATCTTGTGCCAATCGAGCCCCCTTTGGCCCCGATCTACACTTGTGCATGGACTCCACATGCTGCGCATGCCAGAGTCTGGTACTTGTTCCCCGTCTCTTCTATAAATACCGCATTAATTACGAGGAGAGTTGACTTTTGGCTACTTCTATATTCTAACTATATGCTCGGGAACCTCTGACCCACTGTCACGTATTTCAAGCTCCATAACTTGAACCAACAAGTAGACTAGGTAAAGGGACCATACTCGGAACCGACGCTAGCATCGTATCTTGTAATACCACCAGTATATACTACATCAGTTTCTATGAGAACCAACCTCCCCATGAGTCTATGTATGAGATTAATTGGAGGTTTAAAAATGCGTGTTTGCATATTAGGCATTATGATGTGTGCATATTAAGCATGTCCCTATGTGGCATAGGGACATGCTTAATATGCACAAATCATAATGCCTAATATGAACATGCGTGTTTTTAATCTCCTCAGTTAATCTCATCCATAGATTTATTTTTTTATAATGGATGAGATTGATTTTCATGGATTCATGGGTAGGTTGGTTCTAATATGATGTGTGTGTGTGTGTGTTCAAAATGCTAAAATGATTGATCAGTCATTTACCAAATATCTCCAATATTGTGCTCATATTAGTACGATATGGTCGTAATAGATTGGCTTAATTATTCTTTTGGGTTATGTGTAAAGTTGGACCATGATTTTTATTGTTTGGTCTATCTTAACAAGATCCATATGGTTGATCAGTCATTTACCAAATTCATGTTTTGAAAATGAATTTTAACCATATGTGTAACACCCCACTTTTCTATAAATTAAATCCCAAATACTTAACTTCAAAAGATAAACTAAACAAGATTAAACACAAGATTAAATAACTTAAATTCATCAAAAACCATCCAACGGGTGTTACCGCCACAGTCACCACCCACGGTGACTGCACAAGTTACAAAAAGGAAACTAACTAGAGTCACAGCTTGTTAACAACCTTTTAAAAACTTAGGGAACAACCCCAGTATCCAGCACCAACAAAAGATCAAACTATCAACTAATTATCAAGTTCATGATAGAATCTAAACTAGAAACTAATCTAGAATCTACCATAAAACAACTACGCACTACAACTAACTCGTGTGCGCTCAAACACTGGGCCTACCTGAAAGGGGTTATAAAAACAAGTAGAAAATAAACCCGTTAGTAAATTAATGCTAAGTATAAAGCCACTCAACCATGTAAAGTACTATAGATATAGATTTTGAAAATCATTTGGCAAGCACACGTAATCTCAGGTACTTTCAACACTTAACAATAAACTCAAATCATGCTTATAAACATCTCAATATGCTTGCAAGCTATTCAATACATAAACATGTTTTCTCAAGTACTCAACTTAAACACAAATCTCATGCTTCAACAAATAACTCTAAACATAGCTTAGCATACAATCTCATGCTCAACTAATAGATAAAAGATACTTAAACTCAACAAGCAATCTCATGCTATCATGCCAACTCAACAAGCAATCTAGTGCTATCATGCCAACTCAACAAGCAACAATAAAGGTTATACATCTCATCATGCTTTAAATGTAAATCATGCAATTCATGTAACAATACATATCATGATGCTATATGTATAAATACATACATATATATATATATATATATATATATATATATATATATATATATATATATATATATACATATATATATATATGTATATATATATACATATATATATATACATATATATATATATATACATATATATATATATATATACATATATATATATATATACATATATATATATATACATATATATATATATATATATATATATATACTCTCGCTCTTAAATAAAAAGGAAATTCTTTTTCTGTGGAGGTTTCTGTTGAGTCACATTGACTCGTTTTTCTCTTCCTTCTTTCTTACTTGCTTTCTTTCCTCTTTCTCAAACTTTCTCATGAATCTCTTTTCTCTTCTTGTGCGAGGCAGGTACTCCGTCGTAGCGAACGGTGCAATCTCGTGAAGCCGCCACATCTGTAACAACGAAACCTCTAACTCATGGGGGAGGTAGGACCTTCACAACTCGTGAATGAACCTAACCAACTCGGCAATCTAGCCGGCCACATATTCAACTCGCCCACAGAACAGGTACCGGTGGTTCTTTAATCTTTCTTTCTTTCTCTATAGAATCAGGTATCGTACTTTCAGTGTGCACACCCCCTAACCGGGATTCCAAGCCCAGCAGGTAGTCTCCTACCTAGTAACTCAGGAATATCGACCTCGTTACTTCTAAATATCTGTCGTTTCTCAATGACCGTTTCTTACTCGGGAATATCGACCAAGTCACTTTCAAAATATCTGTCAGTCCTTTATGACCGTTTCTTTCTTTCTCAAACTTCTTTCTTTCTCTTTTCTTCCGAAAGGACATAGTCCTAACGGTCCTCCAAAACAAGTTTTCCTCACAATAAATAGCATATAGATATAACTCATGCAACTTCTTTCTCATGCCACAAACTCTACTTATGCAAGCTCATGCGCTTAATCTCAACCAGGGACGGAGGGAGAGGGGGGCAGCTGTCCCCCCTACAAAAAATTATACAGCCCCAAAACGACGTCGTTTTGGGGCTGTATTATATATATATATATATATATATATATATATATATATATATATATATATATATATATATATATATATATATATATATATATATATAAATTCTTATTTTACTAACAGATAGAACGATCGTTTAGAAAATTAACCTCATCTCCGGTCTCTCTCTACGACTCTGCCCAGTGCCCTCCATCCTCGACTCCTCGTCTATCGGCGTCCGGCAACGGCGGCAAGGCAACAACACGGCAAGTCGGCAACACCGCTCAGGACTCGACCCTCAAGCTCTCAGCGCCTAAGCCTCTCTACTTCTCAAGAGTTTCGTCTTCTCAAAACTCAGGTCTTTAATTTTACCCTAATTTCTCTAATTTCCCTAATTACTCAAATTTTATTTTAATCAATTTATGTTTTATTGAGTACTTGAATACATAAATTTGTTTATCAGTTTATGTTTATGAATTATCAATTATGAATTTATGATTTATGAATGTGAATTCACTGAGTTGGGCTTTTGAATATATAATTCAATTAGTGAATGGTGATTTGCTGTTGCTAATTTTACTAGAGGTAGTGAATGACTTAATTTTCAATGATCTGATTTGGTGTTGCAATTTGTTAATGTTTCTAGAGGAGTGATGGCCGAATGAGGCGGTGGGCCTAATTTTCATAATGTTAATTTTCTAGAGGCAGTGATGGCCGATTTGGTGCATTTGTTTTTGTCATAATTTCCATAAATCTTAGTTATATTGTATTTTATTGATTCAGCTATGGAAAAATTTTTCAAAAGAAAATCAACTTTTGGGGATTCATCTAATCAAAGTAGTCCCGAAGTGTCAAGTGCAAGGCCTCGTATTGAAGTAGACATAGATGAACTTGAAGTTGATCCGGGTAAAAGGAAAAATATATATGAATATCATATCAATGATAGAGATATTGTGCAGAGACGGTATCTACAAATGGGTCCTTGTCAACCAAAAAATCATGTCTTTCCTTCTAGAGTGATTACGGGTGTTAATAGGAGATTTAATCCTAAATGGTTTGAAGATCATAGCAATTGGTTGGAGTATAGTGTATCTGAAGATGCAGCATATTGCTTATGTTGTTATCTATTCAAAGATGAAAGTAGTGGACAACAAGCTGGGGGAGAATCATTGGTCACAGAAGGATTCAACAATTGGAAAAAAGGATCGGAAAAGTTGCGTGGACATGTTGGTAATCATAATAGTGTTCACGCAAGGAACGTACAAACTTGTCGAGATTTAATGACTCAAGAGCAACACTTACAAGTTTGTGTATCAAAACACTCGGAGCAATCGAAACAAGACTACCGTGTTCGATTGACTTCATCAGTTAAATGCATCCGGTTACTTTTGAGGCAAGGACTTGCTTTTCGTGGAAATGATGAAAGTTACGACTCTCTTAATCGGGGAAACTTCCTTAAACTCTTAAAGTTTCTTGCAGATAATAATGAAGATGTTGGCAGAGTAGTGATGCGAAATGCACCAGAAAATCACCAAATGACTTCTCCTTACATTCAAAAAGATATAGTTAATGCAATTGCAAGTGAGACAACTGAAATGATAATCAATGATCTTGGTGGAGAATTATTTGGAATAATAGTTGATGAGTCAAGAGATATATCAGTGAAAGAGCAGATGATTGTGTTTATTCGGTATGTGAATTCAAGTGGGCATATTATTGAGCGTCTTCTTGGAATTACTCATGTTCGTGATACCACATCTATGTCTCTTAAAGTAGCAATTGAACATCTTCTAACAAGGCATGGATTAAGAATTTCAAGAATACGAGGCCAAGGCTATGATGGAGCAAGTAATATGCGAGGTGAGTTCAATGGTCTTAGGACTTTGATTATGAATGAGAATCCAAGTGCTTTTTATGTTCATTGTTTTGCTCATCAACTACAACTAGCACTTGTGGGTGTTGCAAAGGAAAATGTGGATGTTGGAGTTTTTTTGCCACTGTCTTGCAATTGTGCAATATTATATGTGCTTCATGTAACCGAAGGGATAGCTTACGAGACAAACAATTACAGATGTTGATTGATTCAATTTCTGCTGATACAATTGAAACGGGAATTGGTTTGAATCAAGAAGTAGTTTTACAACGTCCTGGTGATACACGTTGGGGATCTCATTATGGTGCACTTGTGAGCATTCTGAAATTATTTTCTCCGGTGATTGATGTTCTTGACGAATTAAGGCAAGATCCAAAACAAAGGCTAGAAGCATTTAGAGTATTGAAGAATATCCTATGTTTTGATTTTGTATTCTTTTTGCACTTAATGAAGGATGTTTTAGAAATTACCAATGACTTGTCACAAGCATTACAGAGGAAAGATCAAAACATTGTGAATGCCATGAGACTAGTTGATGTCTCAAAACAAAGGTTACAAATGATGAGGGATGATGGGTGGGAAGCTCTTAAAAGAGAAGTTTCACTATTTTGCAACAAGAATGCAATTTACATACCTAATATGGATGAAGTTTATGTAGTTCCTGGAAGACCTCGTCGTAATGTTGAAGAAAGGACTCATCTTCATAGGTACCGTGTTGAAAGGTTTTGTGTGGTCTTAGATCTACAACTTCAAGAGCTAAACAACCGTTTCAATGAGAAGAATACAGAGTTGCTCTTATGCGTGGCATGTTTTGATCCAAGGAATTCCTTTGCTATGTTTGATAAAGATAAGTTAATTCGATTGGCACAGTTCTATCCAAATAATTTTTCTGATATTGAACTTGAATTACTAGATAACCAACTGCAGAGTTATTTTATTGATGTAAGTTCTGATCCTGCTTTCTCTAAATTGGATGGTATTGATGAATTAGCTCAAAAACGGGTGGAAACGAGAAGACGTTTGGACTATACGTTAGTGTATTTGCTTCTAAAGTTGTCTTTGATCCTACCGGTTGCAACTGCTAGTGTGGAAAGAGCATTTTCTGCTATGAAGTTAATTAAGACATCTTTACGCAACCGGATGAGTGATGATTTCTTACATGATTGCTTAGTGCCATATGTTGAAAATGATGTTTTTGATCAAGTTTCAAATGAAGCAATTCTACAACGATTTCAAAAGATGAGAGAGCGTAGAGGAGTATTATCCCGTACTTCATCATAAACTTTGTATTGTAATTTATAATGTATTTTATATGTTGACAATTATATTCGTATTAGATATTTTGTATTTGAACGTTTTTAAATTTATGTTGCCTTTACTTCTTCGCCCCCCTGAGAAAAAATCCTGGCTTTGTCCCTGATCTCAACAACTTCTCTTTCTCATATTTTGGAAATCAAATATCATGCAATCTTCTCAATGCAACTAGATAATGATTCTCCAAAATAGATATAGGTTTTTGAAATAGATCTTAGGCTTACTTAGAGCCAAATGATGCACTTTAAACAATGAAATCTACTAACATGCTCTTTACTTTGAAACATACTGTGCATTTCAATCACTGTGAAACAAGGAAACAATGTACTACTTCATGCTCAAATCTCAATACTTAGAAAATCTTCTTAACAAATACTTAACAAGTATTGCTCATGCTTCTCAACTCAAAACTTACTCAAAAACTAACAATTTCACTCACTGTAAACATGAACTCATACACTTCATGCCAAATTCTCAAAAGCTTAACAAATCTTCTCAATATATACAAACAAGTATTTAAACATACTTCTCAATCAAATAATAAGGCTCAGATACTTCAATTCCACTTACTGTAACATATTTACATAACACAAACATAAACTGAGCATTCATCACATTTCCATCTATAAATCATGCTCTCTAACTCCAAATCAAACAAAACTAACTTCTACTAGTGCGTCGTAACGAGTCCGAGTGTCCGAGCCTCAAGGGCCCATGAGTCCCAATCCGAACAACGCGTAGCTAAGCCACAAAGGGCCCGACCAGAAAGCCTTTTGGCCTAACGGAGCTTGGTGACGGGGCTTGAGAAGCCCCGCCTCTAGGCTTCGTCAAACCACGATGCCAGGCAACGGACTGTGTCAAGGTCCGTTGCCCTGGTCCGCTGCTCAACGGACCTTGCTAGGGTTTGTTGGCTAGCTCCGTTGGGTGATCTAGTGCACCTTCTGTTTGCACCAGACACCTCCTTCTTCACCTGTACCCCAAAAATCAGTGCAAACCAACACTTCTAAACCACAATAAATCAATCATAGATCATCAACAACACACAAATAGCTCAACCACAACATTTATCTAGCATTTCTACACATCTAAACCACAATCTAGCAGATAACAAAGTCTGAAAATGTAGTTTGGGAGTCCATGGTTTATACCTTAGCTTGTTCTTCTTCTTGTGTGGATCCCTTCCTCCTCTCTACTCAACCACTACCTCCTTCACCACCTAGACATCTCAAACAAACAATACAAACCAAGCCTAAGGAAGATTCTCAGAGATTGGAAGCAAAGAAGGGAAAACTAGGAGGAAAGATGAATGAATGGATGAGAGTGAAACTTAGAAACCTTACTGTAAGATGTCTTCTTCTTCTACAGAACTCAAGAGTGGAGAGGCCAAGAATGGGATCAGGAGGCAACAATGAAATAGTGAGGTTTATAAAGGGTGTAAAACCCTAGGTGAGAAGCCAATGATTGGTGTAAGGTAAAAAAGGAAATTTGCTTGCTAAAAGATCAGACAAAGATTTGTAGAAAGTTGATGGTTCACCTTGCATCATGGACCAAGGTCTAAAAAGTGATTTTGGATAACTTGGGGTCAAAAATAGATTTTCTAAAAATAGTTTCTAGTTAAAACACTTGGTTCAGGTTTCACAGGTTCCTTTTCGGTTTTACTCAAATTGACTTTTTGGGTCAAAACTTGTTACATAAATGTACCCGAAACTTAGGATTTTCGAAATAGAATATTCTCGATGTTGAATTTATTTAAAAACTCAATTTAAAATATTTGATTCCAACACCGTTTTCGAAATAAAATTTTTGAAAGAGTGAAAATGGCTATTTTGGAATTTATAAAATAGAATTTAGAAAAATTATTTTTGGGTTGTCACAATATGACTTGGAGAATTACAACTTTTCATGAAGAGCATGAGGGGTGTGGTTGGGTTTACCAAATAGCATGGTTAAGTCTACTAGAGTTGCAAATAGATGGAAGAAAGAAGTAATGCATCATATGAGTTGGACATCAACTGAGTTTAGAGATAAGGTTAAGGCTGATGGGGGGTTTGAGTTAAGCACGAAGCAAGCATATAGGGCAATTACAAAAGCCAAAGAAGCAATTGAAGGGGAGGCTCTAGATTTTTTCAAAAAGATTTGGGACTATTGCTTAGAGATTCAGAAAACGAATCCAATGACCACATTCAAAGTCAAGCTCAGTGATTTAGAATATGAAGGAAAAAAAGAGATTTCTTCGAATGTATTTGTGTTGGGATGCTTGCAAGGAGGGTTATAAGTTTTGTAGACCCATCATTGGGGTTGATGGTTGCCACTTAAAGCACAAGTTTGGAGGGATTCTGTTAACAACAGTGGGGGTTGATGGAAATGATAGCATCTTCCCATTAGCGTATGTCATTGTTGAAGGGGACCATGTTCTTGGAGTTGCTTAAAAATAACTTGGTGATAACTGAGGAAGCAAAACACAAATTGACATTCATCTCAAGTTTGTTACATTTGACTTAATATATATATTTTTTGTTCAATATGAAATATGACTTAAAGCATTTTTTTGCAAAGCAGAAAAGTTTGTTACCTGCTTTTGAAGATATGCTACCATACGTGTAACATCCCACTTTTCTTAAACTTAATTAACAAACTAAACCTTTAAAGATGAACTAAAGCAGTGGATTAAACTTACTAAACAACTAAGTAAAGGTGTCACCGCCACAATCACCCTTCACGGTGACTGCACAGGCTAAGGATAAAACAAACTAAACATTAAAGTCTCGCTAACATTCAAACAACTAGGGGATAAGACCCCGGTGTCCAGCACCATCAAAAGGTTAAGTAATATCTTTTTTGAATGTTACTGGCCCTATTACATTGTAGTATCTGTTCATATACTTTCTCAACCTACTGAAACACAAAGAACCAATAACGCCTCCACTGAGGCTCAAACTCGTAACCTTCCAAATGGAAATCCAACCTGGGTACCATTAGACCACATAGTCTTGGTAGGTTAAGTAATATCTAAACATCAAAGTTCACAAGATTCTACACTAGAATCTAACATTTTCAAATCTACGCACTAAACTAACTCGTGCGCGCTCAAACATTGGGCCCACCTGAAAGGGGTTAACAAACAACACATAGAAAACAAACCCGTTAACACGAAGCTAAGTATAACGCCACTCAACCCTGTAAAGTAATACAGTATATACTTTTGGAAAACAGTAGTTTCACATTCTTAGATCAAGCAAACTTAAACACTTAAACTCTACTTTGGCATTAACTTCTAGATGCTTGCATCCTAATTAACAAATATGCATACTTGCACAAGTAAATAACTTAACAACAAGTTCATGCTTTCCTATACTCCTCTCATCAACAATCTCATATCAAGACATAACTCGGCAATCAAAACTCAAGCCAACACGTACTCAATAGGCAGTCTTAGCGCAATCATATCTTCTATAAACAACTCATAAATAATCTCATGCTATCATATAATTCATAAGGCAACCTCATGCTATCAAATACTAATCATGCAATCTCGTGCAGACATATAACTCATAAGCAATCTCATGTTATCAAATACTAATCATGCAATCTCGTGCAAGACATAACTCATAATCAATCTCATGTTTTCAAATACTAATCATGCAATCTCGTACAAGACATAACTCATAAGCAATCTCATGCTATCAAATACTAATCATGCAATCTCGTGCAAGACATAACTCATAAGCAATCTCATGCTATCAAATACTAATCATGCAATCTCGTGCAAGACATAACTCATAAGCAATCTCATGCTATCAAATACTAATTATGCTATCTCGTGCATGACATAACTCATAAGCAATCTCGTGCAAAACATAACTCATAAGCAATCTCGTGCAAGACATAACTCATAAGCAATCTCATGCTATCAAATACTAATCATGCAATCTCGTGCAAGACATAACTCATAAGCAATCTCATGCTATCAAATACTAATCATGCAATCTCATGCAAGACATAACTCATAAGCAATCTCATGCTATAAAATATTAATCATGCAATCTCGTGCAAGACAACTCATAAGCAATCTCATGCTATCAAATACTAATCATGCAATCTCGTGCAAGACATAACTCATAAGCAATCTCATGCTATCAAATACTAATTATGCAATCTCGTGCACGACATAACTCATAAGCAATCTCATTCTATCAAATACTAATCATGCAATCTTGTGAAAGACAGAACTCATAAGCAATCTCATGCTATCAAATACTAATCATGCAATCTCGTGCAAGACATAACTCATAAGCAATCTCATGCTATCAAATACTAATCATGCAATCTCGTGCAAGACATAACTCATAAGCAATCTCATGCTATCAAATACTAATCATGCAATCTCGTGCAAGACATAACTCATAAGCAATCTCATGCTATCAAATACTAATTATGCAATCTCGTGCATGACATAACTCATAAGCAATCTCATGCTATCAAATACTAATCATGCAATCTCGTGCAAGACATAACTCATAAGCAATCTCATGCTATCAAATACTCCCTCAGTCCCGTATTCCTTGTCCTGATTCCTTTTTACACGGATTTTAATGGAGCAAAGTAAAAGTTGTTTGTCTTCCAAATTTACCCCTCTTTTCATTTCTCTCACCTTCCACTCAGGAACCCACTAGAACACACTGTACTCTTCTTCTCTCTCTTTCGTTTCTATTTCTCTGGTTCTTGTTTTCTCTTCAAATAATAATTCTAATTTCGTAGATAGAAATGAAATCTTCAATATCTTCAATGCAATCTATACTCTTCTTCTCTGTGAGTCACTCAGATCTGCATCGCATAATCTCGTAGAGATTGCGTTGCCTGAAGCCAAATAGAGAAGTCGCGGTTTGTCAGGAAGCCTTGCCTGCCTCCGCCATCGCCATCTCGCCTTACTGCATCGCCAAACATCCCATTGTCGGCCATAATGGCAG